CAAGGCGATTAGAGCTCCAGTGCTTTCATCATAGGCTTCTTCAGACCCTGTAGCTAATTCAGTTAGGAAGAAAAGATGGACTAATGTGGGGGGGCAGTGAGAGAGAAGGGGGAGATACTTGGGGATGGGAGGAACGAGAGAATGGAAAGGGTGGCTGAAGACTGAGGCAAATAAAAATGTTTGGGCACTTGATTTGTTCTATAATTAGCCATTTTGCAACTTCTGTCCCAGAGAATGAAAACTAGTATAAGGTAAGGGGACATTTAGTTTTGGGGGTACATTTTCCATCTTAGGTATTTGAATTTAAAACTTAAAACCTGAAACCATGAGGTATTAAACCCCCATTGCCACTTAGCTCTCTTGACTGGATCCCCTGTTGCAGATGCTAGGAGACCTCGCTGCCCATTGTTTAAAAATGTCTTTCGTTATTTATTCTCTTCATATTATTAGCGTTAAATATTCTCTTGCACCCACTGGCCATCTCCTCATGGTTAAGCTGCTGCAATTTAAACATTGTCATGAAGTTAATTTTTTATAAGATGAATCAGGTTATTAAATTTAGTAAACCATTGCCTTCATTATTTTGCACCAACTTTGGCACCATGCAGGATTGGCTTACCACTACTACATTTAGCTAATTAAGCTGGCCATCAGCCGCAGTGTTACGAGCCTGAGGAATGCTGTCCTCATGGGCTTTACCCAGGACTTAGCAGTAGGTAATATTATTAAACTTTTTTTTTTAATTTATAAAACTCTATACTCTGGAGATGTGGTTTGCTATAAACGTGTTATTGTCCTTGCTGTTAAACCATCATCTTTTGAAATATCTCCTGCTTTGTTTTTGCTCCAAAGGCGGTTGTAAAGGATTAGAAAATGGAATTGTCGCCTATAGCTTTGACAAGTCGACTAGCCGTGTGTACAGCTCTGTTTAGATAAAGGGTGATGTAAGGTCCAGAGAATAACTTTACGAGACACAGAGACAGATAGCTTAGCCATAGTTTCAGTCAAGACATTATCTGAGGGGGAGAAGGTACATGCTTGCCTCAGCAGCCTGTTGCTGCCATCACACTGGATGCCCAGCTTTCAGTAATACAAAGTCCTGTGAGTAGGTCATTTTGTCAGGCGAGGCAGCCTGCCTGACTTACTAGGTTTGTTTGGGAAAATAAAAGGTGACAGAAAAGGCTGTGTTTTCTCCCTGTAGATTTCTAAGCAGTGCCATTCTAAACTATAGTGAGTAGTATTTTTATAGGATTTTAATAATTACTCTTTATTTAAAAGCCAGTTACAGGTTTATCAGGGTTGCTCTTCAAAACATGATGGATTATTTCAAAGCGGCACAATATTGTGGTCCCTTAGCAATCTGTATCAGCCATCCACTCCTTAGTGTATCCTTCTGGGGTGCAGAGATGATCAGACAGAGTCAGTTATTTACTGCTAATCTGGAGAGCTGAATGCAACGCTAATACCTGCCTGGCCTTGCATCCATAAATAATATAGTTGTTTTAGTGTGGCACAAACCAGTAATGTCAACACTCAGGAGGTAGAGTCCAGAGAATTGGAATTGGAGGCCAGCCTGGGCTACATACTAAGTTTCAAGCCATCCTAGGTCACATAGGAAGATCTTGTCTCAAACAAAACAAAATGGTTTGTAAGGAATGTATGGAAACTGTATTTGCTATCTACCATGATTTATATTTTAATGCCATTCAATTGAAATATGATTAAAATATTTCTGGTCATGGCATTGACATGAAGATTTAGAAGGGATAGAGGTTTTGCCATTTTCTACAAGATCTTGTGGGTACATCAGGTCTTAGGGTGACAGATGAAGGTGTTATTGTCTCCTGCGTGCTGCCTTCATGTAGGTTGTAGTGTTTCATCTACCATAGCTTCTAAGATGTGGCATTTTAGACGCTGGTTGTTGAGATGGCCCAGTGGGTAGAAGTGCTTGTTGTGCAAACCTGAGTTCAGCCTCAGAACTGAAGTTTGATCTCGAAGCTCACAGTGGAAATAGAGAACTGAGTTCTGGAATCTGTTCTCTGATGTCCACATATATGCATGTGTACCACACCCCCAAATCTGTGCAACAATAATAAATAGAGTAAAATGTTCTCTGATATCTACATACATGTATATTCATATATTCACACACTCAAACACACACACACACACACATAATAAATAGAATGAAACAGTCTCTGATGTCCAATGCATGCACACATACACATATCCATGTAATAATAATTAGAATAAGACATGTATACTTTTTTAAAAATTCATTTTAACTTAGAAAATGTATTGGGCCTGGAGAGGTGTCTTTAGTGGTTAAGATGGCTTTTGCTCTTCCAGAGGGCTATGATTTGGTTCCCAGAACTCTTGTTGGGTGGCTCCAACCACAGGTAACTCCAGATTCATGAGATCTAATGGCCTTGGTGTGCACCACACATGTGCACATATGTACGTGAACATTCATAGTAACAAACGATGTCTATAAAATCTCTATCATTTTGCTGTTTAGAGCAATGACTAGGCATTCAACTCTAGAACTAGATTGACTCTTCCCTTCTCTCTCTTTGTGGCTCTCCATCCTGTGGTATCTTTTTTAGATTTTGACATGTGGATTCAATGTTTTTAAATATGTAGAATTTCAACTTTCCAGTTTATCTTCATGATTTTTTTTCAGTAGTGTTTTCGTAGAAGTTTGCCTTTTAAAACTTAATCTTAAAAATTTATCGCCCTAAAATAGTTGAACATTTCAAAAAATCTTTTCAGGTTTTGTGGGATCTGTAATCCTTTTTTTTTAAATATTTTTAAATTTAGGAAAATATTACTCAAAATTTGAACATGCCTATGTATATGACTGGATGGGTTTGGAGATAAAACCACTATTGCAATTTACAGAGATTTTATTTATTTATATTTTAAAGATTTATTTATTTTTATTTAGGACATAAAGATTTATTTTATTTTTAGTGTATGAGTATCTTGCCTGAATGCATATATGTGTACCGCATATGTGCCTAGTGCCCATGGAACCAGCAGAGAGCATCAGGTCCCTGGAACTGGAATTATCGATAGATGGTTGTGAGTTGCCATGTGGGTGATAGGCACTGAATCTGGGGTCCCTGAAAGGGCAGCCAGTACTGTTAATCCCTGGGCCATCTCTTCAGACCCCATTTATTTACTTTTACATTATGTTTATGTATGTGTGTGAGTGTGGATTTATGAACTTGAGTATATATAGTTGCACACAGAGGTCAGAAGAGGACATTGGATCCCTTGGTCCTGGAGTTACAAGTGTCTGAGCCTTCTGATGTGGATGCTGGGAACTGAACTTAATCCTTTGGAAGAGCAGTAAGTGCTTTCAACTGCTCTCTCTAGCTTCCCTGTCCTGGAAATCTTAACCACAGTACTTCCAGCCATTATTTCTGATACCATCCGTAGTGATCACTTGTGCATTTGCTTCTGTTTTTCTCACTCCTGGCCTTTGTTAACATCTTGTCCTCTTGTATGTCTTACTATTTTAGGTTCTCATTCCAGAGATTTTACAGGAGAATGTGAAATAATTGGAGGGATAACTGAAAGTCTGGATGGTGGCTTCTTCCTTCCTAGAGCATATCATTATCCCTTGCTTTTCAGTTAGATAGGGACAGGCCACTTTAATCCAGTCAGAAACTAAGTGCCTGAGGCTGAGCTTCCTGAAAGGCAGGCCTGTGTTTGGCTCGCCTATGAGGCAGTAGCTCTGGTATGTATGCACTACCATCCTTCTTTGTGGACCCTGGGCTTACATTTATACCTTTCTCTGTCTGTAAGGGTACCACAAGTGTGGCCTGTGTTCTGTCTCTCATCTATTGCCACAGAACTATAATAGGACTTGAGTGATACCCCATTTTCCTGCTATGTGCTGCCCCGCTTTCCCAAATCTTTGCCTTTGGGATTCTCAGTTGTACCTCCTTTTTACCTAGCTTCTCTGAAGCAGAAGATTGTAGCCTGGCTATCCTTTGCTTTACATGTAATACCCACTTATAAGTGACCGCTTACCATGTTTGTCTTTCTGGATCATCCAGAAAAACTCATTCCGATCACTTGTCTTTCTCTGATGATTTCAGAGGACGTGTATGTGCACACCTCTATGTATGTGTGTGTATATGCACATATGCATGCCACTCACATGTGCACATGCTTTCACATATGTATATATACATGTATATGTCTATCTATCTATCTATCTATCTATCTATCTATCTATCTATCCATCCACCTATCATCTATCTGAATATATATGATCACTCGGCAGGTATTCTAGTTGCTTTTACCAGGAAGGTAAGTGGGAGGGCCTAGGACACATAGACAGCCACAATAGCTCGATTTGTAAGTTCTGGAAATACTCATCACAGAGCAGAGCATGGTGGCTTCTCACTAAGCAAAGGGTCTAGTCAGTCATCCTTGGCAGTGAAGTGACTGGCTGTGGCCTGACCTCTTCTTGAACTGGGTCTTCATCTTGAAATTGCTGTATTTGTTGGGCTAGCTATCTCACATCTTGCTGTTGATCTGCTCTGTTAACAGGGCTCTGCTGTGGGTGGGTCACGACCCTTTGTGGGGCGGGGCCAAATGACCCTTTCACAGGGGTCAACTAAGACCATCAGAAAACAAAGATATTTATATTATGATTTATAACAGTAGCAAAATTACAGTTATGAAGTAGCTCTCAACATGGGGAACTATATTAAAGAGTCTCAGCCTTAGGAAGGTTGAGGACCACTGGTCTGAAGTAAGGTATTTTGACTACTATATCACTAAAGCCACAAATACTCCACTGCACAGTTTCACCCTTTGAATGTATCTCCTGACCTGTCCCATGCCCCCTGTCCTCTGGGGCACAGGATCACCTCTGGTTAGGAACCACTCAGTTTTGTCAGTGGTGTCCACTAATGGCCCTTTATGACTCACATGTTTGCACTAGCATTGTTTCTAATGTCAATTTTTTCTTTTAACCACAGGGTTTGAAACTGCTAAGTCCTTTGCCCTCCATGGTGCGCACGTGATCCTGGCTTGTAGGAACATGAGCAGAGCCAGCGAGGCAGTATCCCGCATTCTGGAAGAATGGGTAAGTGCTTGGCCGATTTGTGTTTTAACTGCCAAATGTGTACACCAGGCTGAGCGCGCAGAGGTTTCCGTGCAATGCATGATGTTTAATGTCTTTGTTTTTAAAGTCCTCTTCACGTTGTTTACTTCACGAAGGAAAGGATGAGTGAGACAGTTATTACCCATGTGTTTGTTTATAGTTCCTTGTCAGTGTCATCGGCTTTATTTCTCAGAGATTTGAGAATGTTTACTTACTTAAATCTTTTATGAAGAGACGTAAAGCATAGCCAATGCCCATGAATGAATTGGGATGTGTGTGTGCTTATTCAACATCGGTTTTCTACTTCTGCAGTTGTCTGTCTGTCTGTCGGTTGGTCTGTCTGCCTGTCTAATCTATTTCACTTTTCACAGTTTCATACATGTGTGTTGTGCATATTAGTCATTTTTATTCCCCTATTATCCTTTCTAATCCCTCTTCTTCCTCCTGCGGAGCCCCTTCCTCCCTGTGGGTCCTCTTTGCCTTCATGAAGTTAGGAGGTAAGCTGTGTGGACAGCAGGGGAGTGACCCAGAAGATGGGCCTACCCCTAGAATTCAAGGGATGTCAGAGATTCACAAGGGAGAAAGATGGTAATACCTAGATGAGTCTTCTTTTCCTGCAGAATGAGAAGGGAAAAAAGAAAAAGGTCAAAGTCCTCCTGGGTCCTTGAAAGGTAAACATCCTTAACTATTTCTTGTGCACCCTTCCAGAAAAACGATTTCAAATATAAGCAAACACATGCACATGCTGTCCTGTGCTTTGATTGTCTCACTTAATACACCACAAGATCTTTCTGTGGGGTGTCTAAATAGGCTTTGCTCACTGGGGTACAATTCCTGACAAAAACAGCTCAGGAGGAAAGAGCATTTATTTTGGCTCAGGTTTCAGTCTAGAGTTGACTGGTGGGGAGAAAAGCCATCATGGGAGGAAGGCATGAGGAAGAAAGGCATGCTGGAAGGAGGGAGAGGAAGGGGGGGGGAGAATGGGAAGGAGGGAGGGAAGAGGGGAATGCCATGACTGGGGACAGGGGACTGATTGATAGATTGATTGATTGGGGCTTAAGTGTTTCTCTCTGGGACACCTTATGCCCTAGTGATCTGTTTAATCCACCTGGCCCCCTTCCCAATTTCCAGCACCTGACAACAGTGCCATCAGGTCTGCTTCCATCCACGAAGTCAGAGTCTGTGATCTAGTCATATTCCCCTAAGCTTCACATATATGAACACTGCTGCTTCAAAGAATAAGCCTTCAATACATGAGCCTTTTGGGAGAACACTGCAAGTCATTCTCTGTAATGGTTACATACTATTTCTTTCAGCATGTGCTTAAGCATTTAGTTAATCATTTGGGGAGCAGAGGTTGTTAGTGTCCTTGTGCTATTACAGGTGATACAGTGTCACTCTATCTTCTGCATCAGACTTTCTCATAATTTCATGTGAAACTAGGTCTAACTAACATATGTGAACTTTTTTCAGTATCTGAGTCCATGAGCTTACCCATGGGGCTGAATCTTAGCAGCAAGCTCCTAGATTCACTGAGCTACATAGGTGTTGCTGCATTGTCCATTCCTGTTGATAATGTAGAGAGTTTAAATGGTGTCTCAGAGATGGTCAGCTTCTCAGATTTTGTTGGTTTGAATTCGCTGCGTTTCAAATTGGAATAGTACAATTCCAGTGACTTCAGGATTCTGTAGTTAGCCTACTGGACAAGGATATTAATGTTGAAGCTGGTCTCAAAAGGGAACACCAAAATGAAATTGCTTTTCATCTTTAAATTGATCTTTTTCTTAGATTACACAGGAGCATACTGTTTTATCCCATTTTGATGTCTTATATCTGTCTACCCTCTGTTTTCACCTATCTCTCTATTATCTGTTTATAATCTATTTATATCCATCAGCTATCTCTCACCTGTCAATTATGTATCTATATGATCTACCTGTCTGTCTGTTTGTCTGTCTATCAGTCATCTATTGTGTACCTCTCTTTGATCTATCAGCTATCTATGTTTCTCTTCATTTTTGCTATCAGCTCTCTGTGTTGCCATCTCTCCTTTTTTTCTGGCAGGGTCTCAATGTGTAGCTCAGGCTGGCTTTGAACTCACAGTAGTCACCCTGCCTCTGTCCCTTGAGTTCTGGAATTACAGGAATGACCCCCCCACACACCTGTCTTGATTCCACTACTGTTTGATACACAGAGGCAGAAATTCCTGATCTACCATAATGAGCTGTAGGCTCTTGGGCAAGTCTCTTAATATATCTGGCACATCCTTGATGAAGAAGATGGAATGAGATGATCTCAGAGACCCAGCATTTACTCTCTATTTCTTCCATTTTGGACCATAACTCTGTCCCTGGGAGGCAGCTTCAGATGATGGGAATTAGCACTGGGAACCGAACAGTTCCTTGATAAGAAGTAGCAATCCTAGAGGAATGATTACCCCAAAACATTCAAGTAAAGGACCTGGGAACAAGAAACATTAGTGAAAACTAATGTCTCCCATGTAGTTTCAAACATTGAAATTGCATCATGGAGGGTTTGGACTATGGAAACGCAACCCTTTTGTCATACCTCACTGGTGTACTTTTTCTCTATGTATTCCTCACCCTCCAAAGATGGTGCTTACAGAAGCCCAGATTTAGCACCTAAAACCATAATTACCATTTGTTGTCACTACCTTGTTCCCTGCAGTCTAGAGGCCCGTTACTGGTCACCTTGCTTATGTTTGGCCTCCATACTTTCCTCACATGACCTTGATGGTCTGATTTTCTTCAAGCCCCTCCTTACTTCACATCTCTACACAGGGCTGCATTTCAGTAAGGATTGTCAAGGTCATTTTGATCCACTGCAGGTTTTTAGTCTTTGAGCCAGCTTGAGTGTGTTCATACTTTACCATGGATGGAAGATATCTATACCATGCTGGGAGTGTACTGAGACATATTGCCACCCCGTGGGAGGTTCTCAGAGTGGTCCAGGGTTTTTTGTTGCAGTAAGAGCTCATTCAAGGGTTCCTGGGCATTTTTGGCTCTACAATAATTCTCAAGTGCCAAGGCTCTGTGGGCATCTTCAGCTCAGTTTTGGAGATGGATCTGGTTGGTTTCTTTATCCACTCAGCTTGTTCCTCCCAACCTAGGATTTCTCTTCCAAGTTATACTGTACCTTCCAGGATCACCATGTTTCCAATGCTTAGACAGTAGAATGATTTTCTTGATTCACAGTGTTGGGATTGCCCTCGTTCATGGAATTCTTGACATGCACTATGTGCAGGCTTAGCCCATTACAACAACCACAACAAACCAGGTCTTCTTCATTTCACAGAGGAGTCAAGGGACAGCTAGCTCATAGTACCCACAGCAACATAGCTCATGAGCTCAGAAACAGGGCTCTCGTTTATGCTGTCTGCCTTGAAGATCAGCTTATCTAAGTGTCACATCCTTAACTAACTTGCAGTCTTTGCTTTAGATCCTTTGGTGACACTCAAGTGGTTTGTTTCAGAAGCAGTCATATTTAGAGAATGCAGCTCCTTGACAATGACCTAGCCATAACCCTCTTCCTTCTCCCCTGTTACTCTCCTCCTCATTCTTTGACAGACTCCCAATCTGTAAAGTGTTCTGTCTGGATATTCACTATGTAGTCCAGGCTGGCCTTGAACTTATGACATCTTTGTTTTAGTCCCTCAAGTGGTAAGATTACTGATGTGTACTACTATATCCAGCACTGGGTCTTTTCAGTGCCCAGAGCTGATCTAGTATTTAACTTACTAAGGACTACAGTGAATACAATAGATCTTCTTTCTCATGACAACCCAAGACATCTCTGCACATATCCAGATGTGTCCTAGGAATGGTGCAACCCATTGCAGGCTAATTATCATTGTATAAACATATACTATAAAGCAGGAGAGTGATTAAGAGTGTGTACTGCTCTTGTGGGGGGGTACTCAAGTTTGTGTCTCAGCATCTACACTGGGCAACTCACAGTTGCCTATATCTCCATCTTCAGGAAATCCAGTGCCCTCCTTTGGTATCTGTGGGTACCTGCACTCACAAGCACAAACTCATATACAGGTACACATGCATACACAATCATAATTTTTTTAAAAAAGCTATAGTATATTGGCAAAGATTAAAAACAGGTACATACTGTGACCTTCAGAAAGTGTCTGAACTTAAGAAATTTTAGCTTCTTCGTCCATAAAATGCAGATATTTTTAGTAAACACAAAGACTGTGTATAGGTAAAATATTAACAGATGGTGGAGCAAGACTAAGTGGTCAACTAAATGCCAGTTATTTGATTAATAGCAGCCATGAAGATACTAATTTCTTACGTACTTATGGTGAACATAGTGAAGCTTGCTTTTCTTGCCCTCAACAAGTGTTTGAGTGAGAGGGGTGTGTGTGTGTGAGGAGGATGTTTACCAACATGATTTAAGTGGAATCACAATGAATTGTTTTCCTGGCTTTTTATGTCTGGACTCCTACATTTTAATAGATGTGCATTTAGTTGGTTGATCAGTATTTTCCAGTGTGCTTCATATTAGCTCTCAACTGTCACTTGAAAGCTGTCTTAATTATTTATATGATTGCTTTTCCTTTTGTATTTACTAAGAACTTTCCCTTATATATATCTAGGAAAGGCGATTAAGGGCTCAGTCACCAGGAACAGCAAACAGTGGTTATTGAGAAAGGAGGGAGATGAGATATAATAAAAAAAAAAAAAGCAAAGCAAAAATTTAATAATGATGGTAACGGAATGTGCATGTGACAGAACACAGAATACATACTGGATTGACTGTGGCCACCTGATTTGATTCAGTAACGTTAAATTACTCCAGTTGTCAGTGGTGTTGGTTTGTTGGTTGCAAGTCTGTTTATCTCCCTGGAGTGAAGAAGACGTTGTGTTCTGACAACCTCATTGGTAGGCATCAGAAATAGGGGCTTTCAGGTATGGAGAACTTGGTGCCAGATATTCTGTTGGGCATGT